GGCCGCAGCAGGGGGCGAGACGGAGGAGCCGGTGCTCAGCAGGGACGAGGACTCGGAGGAGGACGGTGACTCTGAGGCGGAGCGAGAGACGCAGCGCGTGACGGCCGTGGCGGTGATGGCGGCTGAGCCCGGGCACATGGACATGGGCACCGACGCCCTGCCTGGCCCCGATGAGGCCGCCGCAGCTGCCGCCTTCGCAGGCAAGTGTCCGCCGCGCGCCTGCTTCCTGAGTGACCTGCTCTGCGCACCTTCCCGCGTGCTGGCCCAGCCCCCTCGTACCTGCACACCTGCCCTGCATATCTGCCTACACACCCCCTCAAGTGACTGGCCCCGCCTGCACACTCGCCCTGCAAAGGTGCCACATGCGATCTGCAGGTCCCCACCTTATGACGAGTCCCGCCCCCTTCTGCCCACACACCTGACCTGCGGGACCAGCACCACCCCCTTTTACCTGTACACCTACTCCATGTGACCAGCCCCCTTCTACCTGCACATCTGCACCCTTTTACCTGTACATCTGCGCTGCACCTCTGTCTATACACGTGATGTGACCAGCCCCGCCCCCTTCAATCTGCACACCTGCCCCTTCCTCCAGTGATCACCACCCTCCTTATACCTGCACACCAGCTCTGCACCGGTCTACTCACCTGACTTGCATGACTAGCCCCGCCCCCTTTTAACCTGTACACCTTACCCATGTGACTGTTCATGCCCTCTTTTACCTGCACATCTGCCCCCACAGTGATCAGTCCTGCCCTCTTCTATCTGAACATCTGATCCCCCTTCAGTGTCCCCCTTTCTACCGTCCCTCCATGATCACCCCCATCCCTTTTACCTTCATACCTCCTCTGCACCTCTGCACATGTGATGTGTGCCACCAGCCCTGCTGCCTTCTACTTGTACACCTGTCCCTCCCCTCAGTTGCTGCCTCCACTTACTACATGCACACCTGCTCTGCACAACTGCACATTTGACTTGTGTAGCCAGCCCTGCTCACGTGCTCTGCACATCTGCCCACGTGACCAGCTGGGACCCTTCCTGTTTGCACACCTGCCCCGCACAGGCAGCCTCTTGTGCCAGCTGCACCGTTCTGTCCTGGCCTGCTCTGCATTGTTAGCCCATCCCCTCCTTGCTGCCCGCTGCACCCTCCCCTTGTCCCACCGTGCCCTTCCTACCTCATCCTCATTCGCTCTGGAAATTTCTCAGCCAGGTTCCCGCTGGCCCTGCCCACCCTCTCCTCTGTGCTTCCTTGGGGGTGGTGACCCATCACTGGTCACCCAGAGCACCCATGCCATATGAGGTGGGACCTGTGGGGAGTCACCCTGGGGGGGGGCCCTAAAGCCCTTGGGAACTGACCCTTGAGCCAGGTTGGTGCCCCCAGGGAACATGCCACTCGCAGCTGCTGCCCTGGAGGTCCACTCCTCACTGGGCACTGGGAACTGTGCACACTCTGGAACTGACAGCAGCTGTGGGTGCTGGGCCTCTGTGGTGGTATGTGCCCACCCCAGTACCTCTGGTCAGCTGGCCTGGTAGGAACCCTCTCTGACCAGCAGGCTCTCTCCAATGCTGAGGGATGCAGCACCTACATATATGTAACTCAGGGTGCTGTCTGTCTGGCCAGCGTGCCATGCTTCTCGGGGCTTGACCTTGGGTCAGCCAGTGTCCCCCCCTCCCCTTGGCCAATGTGAGTGCTCTCCCTCGCAAGGGTGACACAGCAGGCCAGCTGTGTCACAGGTGAGCTGTGGCTAGGTCCACCATGCAGGTGGGCAAGTGCCTATGCCGTCCGGCGAGTGTAGGCTTCATCCAGCCAGGCTGTTCTGAGCACCTGCTTGGACCTTCTGGGCACGGAGTATTCCAGAGGCCTGGAGGTTGGCCTGGGCTCAAAGTGTCAGTGCAGGTGAGGGGGCTGGCACTGTGTCTGTGTCCAAGCTGGCTGGCCTGTGACCCATGAGGACACATGGCAGGAGGTGAGGTGGGTGACTGCCCCCTTCCATATCCACAGAGAATGACAGGTGAGGTGGGGCCTGGTGGGGTCTGACGAAGACAGCCCAGGTGTCTCACTGGGGAGGTGGCAGCGGGGCTCTGTGGGGACGCTGCTGGCCCTTGTCTAGAGCTGGCTAATGAGGGCGTCAGAGTGGGCTGTGCCCCCACAGGTGCCATGTAATATGTTGTGACGTGTGGCTGAGGGCCAGTGCAGACCCTGGTCGGCCAGAGGGCCACCTTCTCCTGGAGCAGGGGCTGTGGGGCTGGGGACTGTTAGGGTCCTGCAGTTGCAGGGACAGTTGTAGGGGCATCATGCTCGGGGTTACAGGGCCATTTGGGGTGTCATGTTCTGGATTACAGGGACAGTTGGACATCACGTTTTGGGTTATAAGGACAGTTGGGGCTTCACCCTCTGGGTTGCAGGGACAGTTGTGGGGTCAGTTGTGGCGGCATCACACTGGGTCGCTGGGGCAGGTGCCTGCTAGGGGCCTGTGTTCACTTTGCTATTGGTGCAGCGGCCTCCCATCTCCAGTCGTGCTCAGTTGGATGTCTTCTGTTACAGAGGTGACCACGGTGACGGTGGCCAATGTGGGTGCTTCTGCAGACAATGTCTTCACTACGTCAGTGGCCAATGCAGCGTCCATCTCAGGACACATGCTGGTAAGGCTCCCCGATGGAGGGCCTCACCCAGTCTTTCTGAGCACTGACTGACTGCAGTGCTGGGCCCTGAGCCCCAGGAGGCCACGTGTCTGCTCCTCGCTGTGACCGCGCCTGATGGCGCCTGGCCAAGCCTTGGGCATGTGGAACAAGGCAGGACCCTGCCCTGCTGACCATCCCTGGGCAGGGAGAGCAGGAGGGCCTGTGAACATGTGGCCAGGTCGACGCCTCGGCTCATGGCCAGGGTCGAGGTGTCCAGCAGGTCAGAGACTCAGTGGCCGCCTTGGTCCGTGAGCCAGGGCTCCGCCCATGTCTGTGCTCTGCTCACACCTCTCACTTCACACCCGAGCGACGTGAGAGCGACCTGCTCCTAGAGGCTCCACCTCGCGGCAGTGCAGGCACACAGGTGCTGGGCAGGTGGGCGTGCCCCCAGGTGGTTTCTCTGCGTGCCAGGAACAGCTCTGTTCTCATGCCTGCTCAGTCCATGAGGCTTGGCAGCTGGGTGCCCAAGTAGCCACAGCCAGTGTGGACAGCACGTTACCACCCTGGGACACCCGAGCCACAGCTTCTGCTGCGCATCCCCAGACTCATCTCACCACCTGTGGAAGTGACACCAGTGGCCCCGGCAGCATGCCGTGCCGTGTCTGGCAGTGTGTTGCCGTGTCTGCCTTGCTCAGTGTCAGGGCTCCAAGGCTGGATGGGGTGGGAGTGTGCTGGCTGCGTCAGTCGCTGTGGGTCGGAGCCGACTCGGTTCTTTGTGGAGGGTCCCGCAGGTGCGGCGGCAGCCTTCTCTGCTGACTGCACGGCGCCCGTAGCCACACCGTGGTCTGCTGACGCACGTGCGGGCTGTTGGCAGCAGGCGGGTTCACGTGGGGGCATGACTTTTCGTTCTGGAGCTACCTCAGAGGCTGCAGGTGGGCCCGGGGCTGGGTGCACTTTGCTCTGAGGAGCCGATGTCCATCTCAGCCATTCTCCCGGGGCCGGGGAGTGCCTCCCCGGGAGTGCCCTGAGACCCCTGGCGGCTGGCTCCTCTTCCTGTCCTCTCCGCCCTCAGATAGCCGCTTGGCTAGGGGTCTGTTCTGGTGGGAGCCTGCAGGCTTTGTGTATACACACGGGCCGGCAGGTGCTGGCCAAGTTTGTCCTCTCACCTTGCAGCTGTCCGTTTGTCCTCAGACGAAAGTGTTCCGAGCTGCGGGTACTGGATTTGGACCTGAGGCTCTGGCTGTCCCTGGGTGGGTGCGGCGCTGGGTGCCGTATGTGCCTGCTGGCCCCAGAGGGAGGCCTCACGGGGCGGGGGGTCTGCCGAGCTCACAGGGTGAGTGGGGTGAGCCCAGGCGAGGAGGCCTCTGCCCACACTGGATTATGCGTGAGCAGCGTGGGACATGGAGGGACTTCTGACGTATCTGGCCCTGGGAGCTCCCCACCCCCTCCCCGAGAGCCACTGGGGGGACTCCCACAGGGAGGACGCCCGCCCGTGGGACGCCAGGGTGCAGTGGCAGCCAGTACCATGTGTTGCCCTGGCTGCCCAGTGGCAGCTTTGAAAAATGGGGGCAATTAAGCAATTAAGCAAAGGGCCACTCGCGGTTCGTGACCTGCGTTGCCCTATGACCCGAGGGCTTAGACCCAGGCAGGCTCCTGTCCTCTGCAGTCAGGCAGGACAGCCCTTCAGATCGGGGACAGTCTCAGCACCGAGAAGGCCACTCTGATCGTCGTCCACACCGACGGGAGCATCGTGGAGACCACCGGCCTGAAGGGACCCTCGGCGCCTCTGACCCCGGGTAGGCATCATCGTGTGCCCGCTGGCAGTGTGGGCCCTGACTGAGGCTCTAGTCTGCCGTCCAGGGGGTCGAGTTCACAGGGAGAAGGGGTAGCTACAGTGACTCCCTGGGGACGGCGCCAGCTCACTCACATGGGGCTTCCCCTACTATCCGGTGCCCCTCTGTGCGCCCCCCCCACCCCACGTGCCCCGCGCGACTTCCTTGCTGGCGGTGGACGCAGCTGGTGTTTCTTCTTTGTAAAATGCTCTCTTTGTCTAAGGCCCTCAGTCTCCTCCACCCCCTGTAGCCCCCGGCCCAGAGAAAGGTGGGACCAAGTATAACTGGGACCCCTCGGTCTACGACAGCGAGCTCCCGGTGCGCTGCCGGAACATCAGCGGTACGCTCTACAAGAACAGGCTTGGCTCAGGTGAGGGTGTGGCCGAGGTGAGGGGCGAGGCCGGGTGGGGGGCAGGGCTTGCTCTCCGCCCTCTGAGCAGCACAGGGCCCCTCCCCTCAGACAGGACCCTGCTTCTGCGTCCCCTTGGAGATGTGGGCTGCGGTGCGCCAGCGCATCAGTGCCCAGAGCCTCTGCCCTGGAGCCCAGGCTGTGGGGAGATGGCGGGCCTGGGCTGAGAGCGCTTTAGCAGCAGACCTGAGAGTGGGAGGTGGCCTGAGGGCCTGGAGGACAGGTCGCTGTGTCTAGCCGTGGGTGGACATTACCGGTGCTGTCTGAGTCTGGGCGACTGGACAGGAGGTGGAATGGGGAGGATGGTGCAGGGGGAGGGGTCCCCAGAGGCGTGGGGGAATGTGCACAGTTCCCGGCAGGGCCGACCGACCGCGTGCCGTTTCAGGGGGTCGGGGGCGTTGCATCAAGCAGGGCGAGAACTGGTACAGCCCCACGGAGTTTGAAGCCATGGCCGGGAGAGCCAGCAGTAAAGACTGGAAAAGGAGCATCCGCTATGCAGGCCGCCCGCTGCAGTGCCTGATCCAGGTCGCTCCCGGGGCGGGGGTCCTCCCTGGGGGGTGGAGATGGGAGGTGCGGGGGTAGGCTGCCGCTGCAGTGCCTGATGCAGATGGCTCCCGGGGCGGGGGGTCCTCCCTGAGGGGTGGAGATGGGAGGTGCGGGGGTAGGCTGCCGCTGCAGTGCCTGATGCAGATGGCTCCCGGGGCGGGGGTCCTCCCTGGGGCGGGGGAGGCGGACATGGTGCAGTGCCTCACTATGCATCTCCCTGCAGCGGGACAGAGGACAGGACGGGGCCCTTGCAGGATGCAGCCTTGTAGTGAGGGGTGAGATTACGGGAGCAAGATGAGCTGGGTTGGGGTCTGCAGTGAAATGGACAGGGGAGGGGGTGGATCAGGACCAACTGCCCAAGGCAGATTCCTGTGAAGTGAGCTCAGACACACCTCCAGCCTCCAATCAGCCCTTTCTCTGATCCTGACACTGTGCCCTCCCAGGACTCTCCACTTCACTGCTGGCTCTGTTAAGTCATTGCAGCAGCCGTGCAGAACATGCTCAGGATGTCCAGGTTTGTTAGAGACAAATATCTGAATGCAATCAGGATCAGGAAAGACTTAGGGTACAGTTCCACAGACAGACAGCTACTCTCAGTCTTGCCCACAGATAGTCCCCCCTTTCCCCCCAGCTCAGCCCTGCAGCCCCTCAGCCTGGTCTTTGCCTGCTCCACCAAGTGTTATAAAACTCTTCAGCTCCAATAAGCGCCCGGAGTGTGCCCGCCTTCCCTGCCCGTAAGCCTTGGCCAGAGGCTGAAAAGGTTTCCCTCTAGCTCCAAGCCCAGCTCCTCCAGCAAGTGCCGGCCTCCACTCTGCCAGCAGGCCACCCTCTCCTAGGCCTTCCGAGCTGTGGCTGGAACCGGGGTGCTAGTGAAGTGAGTGTAGCAGTATCAAGAAGGACAGTGGACGACTGACCACACAGGCAGCAGCCCCACAAGCCTGAGACCAGAGCTGGATGGGATGGTGCCCAGGTACCAGGACCCACTGCTCTGAAAGCGAGCACATGGGAAGGTCCCATGTGGCAGGAAGCAAAGGTGGGACTACGCCCAAATCAGAGAGGAGACCAGACCGACTGGTCAGACGGAGTCAGGTGGGACCCCAAGGCTGGGTCTGTAAGAGAAGTCACCTCCTCTTTAGAATAACCCCACTGAAGATGGAAAAGGGCGGTTCATGCAGGCAGAGTTCAGAGGGCCTGGATGGAGGAAGCTGTGGAAACTGGCCAGAAATGGGGTCGGCAGTTGAGCCCTGAGGGGTTCTCAGAGGTGAACTGAGGCAGGAGGCCTGTGGCTTGCTGCTGAAAAGCTCAAATAGGTCATTAAGTTTTAAGACTAGGTTTTAAAAACAGAGTGACGCAATTGATTGGGGTCAAGACAGGACTTCCTGTGGGGCCAGTGTGACCCTTCCCTCTACTTCCCTTCGTGGGAGAGAATGGTGCTTTCGTCCCTGCCTCCAGTCAGCTCTGGTGTGGCCAGTGAATGGACACTGGGTCTTTGGGCCTCTTAGAAGAAGAGGGCTAGGCACCTACCAGCATTAACACAGGGTCGCTATGAGACAGCCGCAGCACCCACTAGCCGTGGGCTGGAGGGAAGATAGTGTGAGAAGGTCCAGGTTCTCCAACGAGCGCCCCGCCCCCTCAGAGATTTGTATCCCTGCGCATTCATCCAGGTCTTGGCTTGCTGATGGATTTTGGTTTCCGATTGCAGGACGGGATCTTGAACCCTCATGCTGCCTCCTGCACCTGCGCTGCCTGCTGCGATGACATGAGCCTAGTAAGTGGTCAGAGAGCTGCCTGGCTCCGGGAGGGTGCCGTGGTGGGCGGCGGTGGCGGTGGCTGTGGCTGCAGGTGTCGCCATCGTCCACCCACCTCTCCTCGCCTCTGCCTCTGGGCCTTCCCTTTGGCTTCACACCTTTCCAGCACAGGTGTGATCCCTGTGTCCCCGTCACACCTGTCTCATCCTGATGCTTGTTGTTCAGACAGTGACAAGCCTTACACAGGCATGGGGTCCGGCCATTAGAGGAAAGTTTTAAGTCATAAAAGGCTCCTACATAAAAAATTAAAAAAAAATTTTTTTAAAGGCTCCTGCATTTCCATGCTAACCCAAAATTTAATTGGAGAAACTCTGTACAGTGCTTACCACAGATGCTACTTGCTGTTTTTAACACTCTCCCACAAAAACACTGCACTGAATCTACTCATAGAGAACTTAAAAAAACATACTTTTATTGGGGGCCCTTACATCTCTTATCACAATCCATACATTCATCCAGTGTGTCAAGCACATTTGCACATATGCCGCCATCATCATTTTCAAAGCATTCTCTTCCTACTTGAGCCCCTGACATCAGCTCCCCAGAACGCTTAATTTATATTTGAAATACTTACACTTCCCTGCCCTGAGTCGATTGCTTAAAGAGAGAGAGAACACTTTCATTGACTTGGATACGCAGGTTGCTATATAGATTTCAAAAGTGCTATGCTGATCTTCATGGGTGACCACCCAGTCTCCGTACACTTCCCTAGTGTGGGGGAGGGACCTGGGCAGTGGGCTGCTCACTGCAAGGCCAGAAGTTCAAGCCCAGTGGCTGCTCTATGTTGTCTTGATGCCTGTTCTCTGCTTGATCTCTGAGCGCTCCTACCTATTGCTATGGCGATGTAGAACAGGCAAAATGCACGGTGACGGGGTTTGTTAAGGAAGGTGATGAGTTGTCATGCCGTGAGAAACGCTCAGGCCTGAGCTGTGCATTGGGACGTGTTGTGGTACCAAGTTCTTTCTGGTCCGCTCCGCTGGGAGCCTCAACCCGAAGGCCTTCCGTTCAAGCTCTGTGGGTCCGCAAGTCCAGCTTCCCCAGGGAGCGCCCAGAGGGACCCGCTCTGCCAGGCAGCCTCCGGCGCAAGAGCACTCGGCTCGCATTGCTCCGTGGGTCAGGGGGTTCATCTGTGTGTCCGTGTCCTGGCTCCAGGAGGCTCACGGTGTGGGGCCCTCCGCTCCTGGCTCTCGCAGGTGACGACGCCCCTCCCCCTGCTTCCAGGAGGACTCACTTCACACAGGGCAGGAAGGCGCTCAGGGAGTCCTACTCACAGTCACTCCCAGGGGATCCCATCAGCACCCTCCCCTTCTTCCCAGACCCAGGCCGGGAGAGGTCCTTTGGTTGGAGTGGGAGACCTTGGCTGGAAGAGCCGCATAAACTAATTCACTGCATTGTCTCTCCTCCCCAAGGTCTGTCGGAGGAAACTGAGGGTTCTGGTACTGTACCATGTACCGTCTCAGAAACCCTATGTGGAATTGCTGCTCAGAATGATTCGACGGCAGTGGATTTGGATTTCTGGGTTTAGTGCTGGACATTATAAAATTTAAAGGTTTAAACATTAATTTCATAGCTGCTTAATGAGCTCTCCTTATTTTAACTTGATTATTCCAAAGCCCAAACTCACTGCCATCAAATCGATGCCAACTCATAGGGACCTTGTAGGACGGGGTAGAACTGCCCCTGTGGGTTC